ATATATGTATATATACATACATACATACATACATATATGTATATATATGTAAATATACATACATATATGTATATATGTATGTATATGTGTGTGTGTGTGTGTGTGTGAAGGTGTTTTAAACCCTTCTCACAGTCTTGCAATATTCTAAACAATGTTTCTAAACTCTAAACACTGTAAAAGAGCACAGAATGTCATGATCTCAGCTCCCTACATGCGTTCTTGGCCACGCCCACTTCACAGCTCTGAACAGTGATCGGCTGATCAGCTGCAGCAGGAAGCTTATCCTGCAGTGTGGGCTGCACAAAGGTGCAGCAGGTGCTAAATATTTTAAAACCATTTATTTTAAATAAAAATTCCATGCCGATCGTGCGGCTCATCCATCAGTCAGTCATTAGGTGTAGTGTCTAGTCTTATTTTGAAAAACCGCAATAGAGCGAGTCCTCGATAAATGAACCACAAAGTAGCGCGGGACTACTGTATTGGGCTTTTGAACTCACCAAAACTCTTTTGTCTCAGGCATCATCAGAAATAAACGTGCCAACCAAGCGGTTGCGAACACTTGAAAGCTCTTTGTGGCGTTAAAAAGCTTCTGGGTAATTTCTCTTTAATTACAGTCCAGCAATAAAGTGTCTATAAAAACAAACAAACAAATAAAACTAAACCCCGTGGTTTAAATTTGCAAGTGTTTATGTGTTTGTGGAACAAAGTGGGGACGTCCCGCTGGTGTTTGGCCCAGTCCCAGACGTTATGAGTATAAAGACGCGATGCATCCTGACTAAATGATGGAGGCTTGTACACAAGCAGCCTATTATTCACAGCAATAAGAGTTTGTTTTTAGCTCTGGCAGCCCCCTACGGTCCTATTAGACCTGGCCTTTTGTCCGGCGCGCATCATAAACACATCAAAACACTCAAATAAACCCTTCCACTTGGCCCTTCCAACACCTTAATCAATAGGACAGCGGAGCGAGTTGGCAGGAAAAGCTTTTATGCATCTCATTTTTCAAGCTGCGGCTGTAAATTCCCACTCCCCAGAGTGGCCCCTCCGTCATCGGATTTGATTATGTGAGGGATCAGGGCTGCTTAAATCAAATCATGCAAAATAAGTTGTTTTTTTTTTTAATTACATGGGGAAAAAATAATTTGTGTAAATCCAGGCTTGTTGGGTTTCCAACAGTTTCAGTGGCTTTTGAACATCTGACCAAACAGAAGGAGAGCACGCTCACCCAGGAAGGCCTTTACTCCTCCACACATCGTAGAGCACCAGCGGGATGTTGCCACTCGCTGTGGCTGAGCCTGCCTGGAGAAACAGAACAAACAGAGCAATGATGACAGACAGATCGTCTCTTCTACTTCCTGCTTCTTGAACAGACACCCTGTTTAGCTTCCTAAGCTGAGCTTCGTTAAGCTGCCTCCATCAGATGTTTTTTGTTGCTCAGACACAGCTGTGTCAGCGCAGGTGTCACCTCTAGGACCCACCATTTGACCCCCACAAAAACACATGTAACAAGTCCTCCTTGTCTCCTCCGCATCCATCAATGCAGCACTTTTATTATTTAGCCAACACAGATTAGCTGGCCAGAGAGATTTTACTCCATCGCAGTGGAGTGGCAGAGGGGTATGAGACAGTGGTGAATACGTGATACGTGGGTATACAGAGAAAAGCTAGAAAAGCTGAAGAATTTCAGTATACCCACTTAAAAGTGCCCATTGATACATGACATATCATTAGACACGTGTCATTGATATGTTAAACAGCAGTTAAACACTTCCGTAACAATCTATCTGTATGCAGCACTTGTTTATTACATTTGCTTATCCAGCGAATTACTGTATAATTTTGTACTTAATACTTGAACATGTTTTGCTTTGATACTGTTTTATAAAATCTATAACATGTTTTTAATACAAAGCCAACTGTTGTACAAAGTTTGTTGTTCATTTATTCAAATATAAACATCAGAAATTTAGAAATGTTCAATATGCTTAAAAATCTAAATCAATTGACGAGTACATTGTACTTTGGTTTCTAAGAACAGTATACCCACTACAAGAATGTAGACTGCACCACCTGTACAAGAGTGGCAGGAACGAGCCAGACTTAGTTAGGTGAGGGCGCGTGGAGAGGGTCGAGACGAAAAATAAAAAAAATAAAATAATGGTAAAGAGAAGGGAAGACAAAAGTGTCTTTATTTAAGTGCACGCATCAACGCTACAGATCATTGAACATGGAGGAAACAGTTTGTTGCATTTGTTGTAAATTGTGAGTAAGACGATAGGAGGGTTAATATGTAAATATATATATATATATATATATATATATATATATATATATATATATATATATATATATATATATATATATATATATATATATATAT